ATCGCCTCGTTGTGGCACAACACCAGCATCTGCGTGTCGAACGCCAGATTGAAGGGATTACCGATCGGCTCGCGGCAATGGTCGTGAGTGCTGTTGTCGGGGGTGTAGAGAAACAGCACGAACCACACAGGAAAGGACATCGGATAGAACTTGGTGGCCTCCGCGAATTCGAGGTACGCCTCGTAGTTGGGTAAAATGACGATGGTGACGGGTTGGACTATTTGGCGGTAGTATCTCAACGAAATATTTAGCCTTCTGAAGTGCACGTTCGCGGTCTTCACGAAGCGCTGGCTCAGCAAGCGGGAGCTCGCGTGTATCAGATGCGTGATTTGCAAATCTGCAGCGAGAGGATTTTGCAAAAATGAGAGGATTGGTTTAACAGGCTCAAATACTATGCTATGTAAAATTCTGAGAACTCATCGAGTTTTTAAGAAAAAAAATTTCAGTAATTATATACTACACCTATGTAAAATTTTGAGAACTCATTGAATTCTTAAGAAAACAAAAATTTCAGTAATTATGTACTGCGTAGCCTTGAGTACCCAAGAGAAAAAAGTTCCAGTAATTATGTACTACATAGCCAGCCTTGATGATTTTGACTTTGACATACGCTGTCAAGGTTACGAGTGATCTTCAGAAGGTTTTTCTAGACCTCAGCGGAGGTTTATTATTGAATTATTTTACATATATAGGTCTTCGACTTTACACGCGAAACGAGGTCCACCCTATTCCTACTGTTTATAGCGGGAAACGCGGTCTCTAATTATACGGTTCCATAGAATTAAAGCGTTTTTTTTTAATAATGAGAAAAATGTATCATATTTGTAATAATATTGATTAAAATATGTAGTGAAACTTTTTTTGTCAATAACTTTTAAACGAACAATTACGACCTTGTCAAATTTAAGGTCATCGGGGCTGGTTCCTCTATAATGCATAATTACAAAATTTCTAATTTAATTAATTCCTAATTTTTTAAGCAAAATCTAAAGTACTTCCGCGATGCATGCTATCTTCCCCTACTATTTCCATCTTCACGATTTTATAAATTTCTGATAGAAAGGGAAGGCAGGGACAATCGAAAAATACTTCAAACCCGAGTCGTGCAGGAGTGATTGCTATTATTCGCGAATCGCGATGTAGTCGGCGTCGCAACGTTT